TATCAAGCGGCTCACCAATATAACGAGAGATGCTCTGGAAGGGGTGCACAGCCAACTATCGGCCACCTCAATGATGACTTACCAGAACCGGATGGCTTTGGATATGTTATTGGCTGAGAAAGGAGGAGTGTGTGCGATGTTTGGCCAAGCGTGCTGCACTTTTATCCCCAATAACACCGCCCCAGATGGATGCTTTACTAGAGCATTTGTACTGTTTAGGGATTTCCATGACTGCTGCATTCACCCGTATTCACTGATATAGATTTTTAGCGTTTAGATTAGTGGTTTCTTTTGATTTTTTTTGGTTTACATAATGAATTATGTAAAAAGGGGGAATTGATAATCAAAAGTTCTTGTCATGGGCTTAGTTGGGGATTCGATGTCTTGTCTTGATTTAAGAGTTAGGTAAGGAGGGAAGCAGGATGTGCCGAGCAGGCAGACACGAGTCTGACAGGATGGGGAGTCAGTTTCTGTCCTGGCTGAGGAATGCAAGGTCTGCAGGTCAACTAGTAGATTTGCCAGCCTAAGGGGGGTTTAGAAACACACCAACACTATTCAACATACACACTCTTTTCGTTGATGTTTACGTTAAGTCAGGAGTCCGGACATTGGATGTGACTGGATCTTTAGATGCGGGGGGTGGAAGGTCCTCCTCTACACCAGTTTAGTGCCAATAGAAATCTTTCCTTTTCTGTCTTTCAAGGGTTATAAAACATGATGTTCTTGCTGATGTTAGTTAGTTGTTCTTCCGGCCTGTGTGCTGCCTGAACTGCTCCTGCCTTTGCAAACTCAGCGCTGATACTTGACCTGTGATCTGACAAATAAATCTCCCAGAACGAGAGAAGTCGTTCGGCTGAATTTTGGTAACCCCGACCAGGCTCCAATTCTTGAACACGTATTCTTACACGAGTCAGGCACTCATTAAAAAAACTCCCAGAGTGGCTATTTACCCAGCATTCTTTAAAAAGTTCAATTAATGTTTATCAGAATTGGGGAGTGTCTCGGCCCAGTTGTCCCCTCTGGAGCACCTGCTCTGCGTGAAAGCCTGCAGGTTTGTCCGAACGAGGCCAATCAAAGCCGAGGCTTTCACAGTCCCGTGGGCACCGCCAGTGGGACGGATGATAGCCGTATCATCCGTGGTTCTCCTGTGGTTCTCCTGTCATCAGTGTGTCATCAGGGAGGATCCAGCTGGCGGTTACCACGCGTTCCCGTGTTGAGGAAGCGAACCACAAACCACAAGCCAGAGGTGTTTCAGTTGGCAACAGACAAATGCAAACGCAGGATAACACGATTGTATGCACACAAATGCAGAAGTAGAAACAAACTACTAGGTTGTTAGGCAGGATTGCGTTGTGTATGCTATAATTATCTGCTTGGTGACACTGATATCAGCGGAGGTGAGCTCTCTTCCCTTAATGGCCACTTTTATTTCAGGGGGTCCGGTGTCAACAAAGGACAAAGCTATGATGAGAAACCCGATCAGGGGCAGGGTTCATCAAAATAATGGGGAGGCGCACTTCTTATTCCTAGAGGAGTAGCTGGGCCGGGTGATCGGGTCTGCTGTAATAATCTAGAGCAGGTCATGAAGAGCACAACGAATGATCATGAATATGGTTTTTGAATAGATTAGTTAAACGACATAGAGTTAAAACTATTTTAATAATCTTTTTTTTCTTAATGACATATTTTCTTGTATATTTTTCTCGTCTCCAGCTTCTCGATGAAGACATTTACCTGTTTCTTCACAGTTTCGTATGATTGTGAACTGAATGTTATTAGGCTTGTGGACTTTATGTTCTGAAAAACTGTAACAGGCATTTTCGCCTTTTTCATTTTACAGACCACGCTATTAATAAATTAATTGGGGAGATAATCTGATTGAAAAAAGGTCCATGAACTCCTACTAAGTTATAATATACAAAACCTGATTTCAAACGTTAAATAAGGCATACAGACTTGAAGAGATGAAGATATACAGTATGTGCTTTATTAAATAAACAGAAGGCTGCCTTCAGTACTGAGTAATATTATGTCAAAGCTACAAACATGCTGCCTGCAACAGTCTCGGGGCATTTCCTATCTTAAAGAGGTATACAGCGCAACAGCTGTGAGAAGCTGCCTTTATTTGTAATGACGCAAATGCTCTTTTAGGATAGCCTGAATCTTCTGAACTGACACCCACAGAGTGGAATCGACTCACAGTATAAACCCTTAAACAGCTTCAAACGACGCCTCGGACGCAACTCTTTCCTTTTTCGCACTGATGTTCAAAAGTGTTCAGCCTTCTTATCTTCTTCTAATGAAAATATATATGCGAGGAGCCTTTTTCAAAGGGCTGGCAGCAAAGCGGATGAAAGTGTGCGATCGGATTAACACTAAAGAAATTGGCACATGACACACTCTGCAGTACCGGGTGGCAAAGTAGTATTGCATAAGGTTAATTTCCCATTTTTAATTGCAGCATTAGGGCAAATGAATGTACTTTTTAGAATTTTTAGAAAGCAAAATATTCCATATTTCTGATGCGTAAATATCTTGTAAAAGTACTAATGATCAACCTCTCCATATTATTGCGAAATTGATGTAGGGTCATAAATATTTGTTGTATTTCTGACCAAATAGTAAACCTTTTACATTATCTGCCTTTCAGTATGATTCACTATTGTCAAATTTAAATAAAACACTAAACAGAAAAGTGTCCTATACGGACGTCTTTAGAGTCCTTTGTCCACGTTGGACACGAAGAAGAAATGTGGCTTCATAATGGCTCAAGATGTGCTGGCTTTGCTTTCGAAACATTTGGGAACCTCTCTCCTAGATGGTTTAGTGGTGTAGGCCAAGTGCATCACAAGATAGAGTTTGTTCCCTAATAAATCCATTCTGCTGAGTATTTGCCATTACCCAAATAACATTTATGTGGATCAACATGGGGTGTAGGGTTGCTTGGTAGCACTCAAAAACATGGCCCCCGCTGTAAATTATGGTTTTATAATTTAAATAACACAAGCCACATGACAAGTTATCTATACTCTTACCTTTATCAGAAGTGGGAAGCTGCCTTTTCTTGTCTTCAACAGTTTTTCCATCTTATTTTTAGAGCCAATTCTGTCTAGGTTAATAAAAGAGCACATTCTGCATTTGTATGGGAACTAATATTCAGTGATCATTTGGTCCGTGGTTTTACAACAATATATAGACCCATATATTAATAAAAAACAACCTTTTATGAGCGTTTTCTCCTATTGACAGTCACAACTGTAAGATCAACAGACTTTGCATCAAACTCCACTGACCCCTGCTGGCCCCATCCCATTCGGTCTGTCTTAAATTCAACACATTAAACTTGGTCTGTTTCATGGAGGCGTCCCGTCAGAAAGACTGCTGCTTCACTACAAATAAAGACAAGTGTCCAAACAAGTAGCCAAAAGTAATCCCTCGAGGACAGGTCACTTTACCCGTTAAATCTATAGAACAGCTTCTCTTTCAAAGACTGCAGAGCGTGCAAATGTGTTATGAGAAACAAAAAAGTAACTTATTGCCCACGCGCACGCACTAACCTTTTATCTGACGCTTTGTTCGGTGCACTCATGGTGACGGGGAGTCAACGAGGGGGCAGCGATGAAGCGGCCACGCTCAGGGCTGTAGTGGAGGGTAAACGCACGTAAACGCCGTTTACGCACCTCTGGAATTCTGGAAATAGCATTTACGCACCTCTAAATAGCGTTTACGCACCTCAAAATTCCCTGCGCCTTGTATTCTTCCGTTGGAATAATCCGAAATAAACTTGGTGTAATTTTAAAACAGCTAAGACTACGTTTCCTATTGTTGAACATATAAACGCCGTAGTCTGAATCATTTTTATCTGCGCTGTGTTATGGTCTGACCATCCAATCAGTGCCTTGCGGCTGCAGCAGCAACACCAATCAGGATCCAGGAGGTATGTAAACACATACACGTTGTGGATTAGCCCAGTGGTCCCCAACCTTTTTTACCTCACGGACCGGTTTCATCTCAGACAATATTTTGCGGACCGGTCGAGAAGGTCCGACATTACATTTACATTTAACATATAGATTTACATTTAAGATTTATATTATTTAACAACTTGGTGTTACTGCCAAACATTATCCTTGGAAAAGTTATTGCATGAATTTACATGAATTTCTCTGTAAATGTTTGAAAAAGTGACATGAATATTGTCGTGCTTTTTTGGTCATATGATAAAGCTAAATGTAGCAAAACTGCGCAGGATTTTAGAATGTACAACATTTTACAAACGGCGCCCCATACAATTGTGGTATGACGAGATGAGTAAGTTCTCTTAATAAGTAAATTCTTCTGAAAAAAGTTAAATGTTGTGAAATGGTGGAAATTGGCGACCATGGGAAGCAGTGTGAATGCAATGGATCAATCATTTGATAGTGTGTTGTAAAAATAATTAAAAGACTACAATGGAACGTTGTTTCATCTTTATATATTTGCAGATAAAAAGCTGATGGTTAGATGGAAAACAGCTCAATCAAACACCTGAAATGTGTACACCGGGCATTTTATATTGGGCATTTGTTTCTATTTCTTCTCTCCTAATGACTGATGTCGTAGCTACTACATACAGAACTGTCACTAACACATTTTAGTAAAAGTATCGTCTGCAAACGAATAAGAATACAATCTACTGCATGTTTTCAGGTTGCATTAACAAGCTCATAGTAGTTAAACGGTGCAGGCCTCTAAATCTTAAATCAGATAATCCAAAAACGGCAATTGCCTCAAAGCGTACACCATTCATTGTACACAATAGATAATAATAATAATAATTAATGAATAATAATGCATATGAGCCTATGCAAAGGGGAATTTAAATATAAAAGCAAAAGAAAAAACAACAACCATTTAAAGACTAACTTTACTTGACCTCTCAATGCTTTTTCATCAGTATTACAAACTTTTTCCTTGAGATTTAAGATCCCTTGCATGAAAACAGAATGACAAAACTCTGGTTTATTTCAACAATGTGGTTTATGTATATTTCACAAGTCAAAATCGCACCAGTCAAACAATAAGATTCAGACATCACTCTAGCTCTGCACATACACAAAGCCTTTTGTTTGACACCTTTCAGTTTATCATGTGACCTGCCTATTCTCCTGTTACTTCAAACAGAAATGAAACTGAGCACGATTTGAGTAGACAGTAGAGACAACCTAAGGTTGACTAAAGCCAGCCATGTTTGAAAATGACACAGAGGATCGTTTGACAAGTCTGCATTGCAACATGGGATGTGAAAATGTGTCCAACAAAGAGACCGTTATTTTGAAAGGAGGCAGTATTATTATTGAAAAGTACAACAATCATACTGCACTGTTACATAATTGATTTGTTTTATTTATTTCAGGAATAATTAGAAATTTTAATTTTAATTACCCCCAAATCTTTAAACTATCAAATGTTTGTTAAATATACATCTCCCTTTCAAATAAACCTTTTTAATTTGCTTTAATCCTTTATAGAGATGAAATCACACTATGCATTTATTGGCTTGAACTAATCTACAGCTGTTCCAAAAACCTTTAAAACCAACACCATCCCCACACTCATATGGCACTTATTATTTTACTTGGAGGTTGAGTTATATTTTTGAACATTAAACCCCACTTAGATAAGATTCAGAGAAGAGAACCACAGCAGCTGGACTTTTTCTTTTTTAATGTTTACAGTCTTTAAAACCTTCCAGATTTCAGATCAGGAAATTTGAGCACCATTTTCCTGAGAACAAGAGAGACAAAATATGAATCACAGCCACATGGGCCTGATTTTCCCCGCTGGCCGGCCTCGAAGGTTAGAGAGTGTGTGCGAATAACAATGAGCTGCAGGGAACGGGGAGGGTTGTTAAGAAATACCGCGGGCTCCTTATTTCCTTCTAACACATATGACGGGCAGCTTCGGTGAACTGCTCTGCTTCACCATCAACTGCTACATTTTCTCCCAGAGAGGGAGACCAAAAGACGGTGTAAGGACAGGCTGCGCGACGGGGCTTTAGGGGGAGGAGGAGGAGGAGGTAGCCGCTGGAGGTCTGGTGAAAGGTCAGTGGGATCCGGTGGTGAGAGCGGATCGAACAGGACTGGGGTGATATCTCGGGTTGTGTTAAGGCCGTGGGTGAGCCTGAGGTCGGGCCGATCTGAGGGTAGAACCGGAAAAAACATCGGCCTTTGTTTAAAAAGGAGCTAAGAGGCAGGAGTCTTTCGGGAAGATTCGACGCGACCGAAAAAACATACTTTATCCCAGGTGCTTGTGATGATTTTTTTCGTAGTCCACTCCGTTGCTCGAGCTGGTACCTGTCAGGGAAAGAGCCATCAGCGCGTCTGGAGGATTGGCGCCGCTTTGTGATTCAGTAATGGTAGAGACTTTTCAGGTGGTCTACATTACCTCACTTACCCAAGTAGTCCTTGTAATCCTTGGAGTATTTGTGCCTGAGACGTCCTTCTGTAAAAAAAAACAAAAAAAATGATCACACGGTTGGACTTTTAACTTGAGAGGCATTAGTTTAATGTTTCTGCCAACCGCTTCAGCCACAAATCATATACTGAGGCGATCTGTCCTGACAACCAATTTGAGTTTTTTGTTAGATCAATTGGAGAAACTTGGCTGCTAACAGCCTGCGATGTGCCAAGACTACGAGGCCAGACTCAAAGAGTCCTGTCCTCGTCCATCTAGGATTAAAAGGAGCACACACGTTCCATTATATTCTGTTCCATTAAATCAGACAAGCAAGAGATTAGTTTTAAAGAAAACATTTTAGATAGGAAATGATGTGTGTAAAATTAATGGATATTAGCCACGGAAACTGCTCCCGGCATACCAGAGTTGACATGTTGCTTGATACACTGTCCCCGGTTTGGGATGCCAGCGGCAGGGTTTCCTGGATTAATAATGTGGCACTCGTAGCCCGTGGGACAATGAAGAGGCTCGTCGCCATCCTCGGTCGTGCTGCAGGCCTCAGCTGGTGGACAGAAAATATATACGGTGCATGAGAAGACATATTTCTTATGATGCTGGTATGCTTTTCTTCTGTTTTTGTTTACTTGTCATCCTCCAACCCACCGTGTCAACTTCAGAAAACCTGCAGCAACCTTTCATAATATCCATTGACGAATAGCAGAACGACCAGAATGTCCAGCTGTGATGAATCTTGTGGACTCGTCTCATTTGAATTTACTGAGACTAATACTAGTGGTTTAAATTGTTCTACATGCCCCTTCTTATTAAACTGCTTCCCCCTTATTAATCATCAACATCAGACGTCGAGCTACAGTAAAATCAAGACAAAATGCGCTGAGTGAAACCTGGTGTCGTCACTGAGCAAAGGCAGGATTGCGTTAAAATCAAAGCGTTTCCTCTGTGTGTTTGTGTGCACTCACCCTGCAGAACCTCCTCCGGGCCGTCTAACAGCCAGCCGTTGCCCCCCAACCACCGAGGCTTGGGCTGCACCAGCCAGTCCAGCACTGTTCAGAACAGGCACAGATCCCGTACTTATCGAAGGGTTTTCAAGAGAAAAACAAACACCCATTTCTCAAACACAACCGCGTGCGACTCTCTGGTGGTTCTGCTGACCTGGTGGAGGCTGGACGGACTCCAGGCAGGCGTAGATGCATCCGTTGTAGCAGCAGCGTTTTTGGCGCTCGCACTCCGAGTCCGAGCGGCAGCCCGGCACCTCGCAGGCTCTCTGCGGCAGCATCTGGGGTGGCGGTGGACACCGGTCGTTCTTCTGCTGTTGCGTGGACTGGGGGTGGTTGGGGTACTCGTAGTCCTGCGGGACAGAAAAAAATACACATGTTGAAACAGATTCATACAAATGCAGATGTGGTCGGATCAAGCAGCTGTTTTCTAGCATTTATCTAAAAAGCAGCATGGCTAAAAATTGTATTGTGTACTTGGAGTCATTTGGAGGAGGCACTGGACGCTGTGTGTGCTTGTAGAACTGTGACACCTTCTGGCCACTGGGAGGCGGTAGCAGATCTGAGTGATTACTCACTACAGTGAGTCTGCCCTGCATGCTAAAGTCACAGGGACGTGACTCACTGTGCGAACAAATGCTTCTCTAGTGCTCCTGCGAGGGGAAAAGTAGGCCACGGCCCTCTGAGCCAAGCAAAGACACCTTTCACACGCTTTGGCAACATTAAGTGCGGGCCCACTTCCAGTCCACTTAATTTGATAAGTGTGAGAGAAAGGGAAAGAGAGAGAGGGTGTTTTTCCTCTGTACTAGATTAGTAATTAGATAATCAGCTGGCACACGGTCATTAAAACCTGGCAGGCCTACTGAACATGAAACAAAAGCAAATGTTTGGCGTAGACGGTGGGATCACACACACTGTACGGGCGTTCACTTTAGACCCACATTAATTCGTTGTGGCAGCTGAGAGCTTAGTGGTTGGATGGTTTTGGGGGGGTCGGGTGAGGGATTCACACCATACGGGGACGGAGGGAACAATGCAGTCAAAGCCTGTAAGCGCTGAGGTTCCTACACGTCACACTAAGCAGTCTGAGTTTGGATTGTACGTCCCTAGGTTTCAAATATTTTTGTGAGACTGGCCGAACTGCAGTTTGTTCGTAGCTGTGAGTCAGTCTCACGGCTGTTTGCAACGTTGTTGCAACAGACAGCTGTTTTTGATCTAAAAGAACCCGCTTTGACGAAGTTATTGATAAGCAAGTTTACATAGTAGAGCGTTTAGCAGCTAAAGAGCCAGATTCTTTTCTCAGGAGTTGGTGGAGACCCAATCAGAGGTGAAATGAAAGTAAATATTGGACTTTCAATCATGAGATGACCCGGAAACACTAAGCCCATTGAGCCCTAACGCTGCTCAGTGTGGTTAAATGAACTATTTGCTATCTTAAACGATTTCCTCAACTTTCCACTGTACACATATCTGCACTTTGTTTGCAGTGAAGGAAGCAGGTTTCTTCACATTCACAGACTGGAGTTGCTAAGAATTTCCTTTCCGTGGCTTGAGATGATATGATGTGGAAAATCTCACTCCTGCCAAACAAAAGGAATGTCTGGCAGAGGCACAGTGTGTGTATGCTTGTGTGCGTCTGCACACAGTAGATATGGTGTTTAACTGTGATCTGCTACTGTGAAAGTACAGTAAAACTTTAGAAGAAGAAGAATCTCAGGGCCTTGGTAGCCGATTGGCTACAGTTGATGCCATATGGTCGCACAGTCTCGGGATCCGTTTCTGTCTCTGGACCTTTGCTGCACGTTCTATTTGGCACAAATGCAGATGTCATATTAAGAGCGGTCTCAAAACCTTAACCTTTTACAGCTGCTTCTGCATAATCGTTCTCCCCAAACTCGTCATTCATGGCTCTGAGAAGATAAGCGGCGCCAAAGTGGTTCATGACGTCGCCTCCTGCTATCAAATCTATGAATGGAGACTACAAAGTCTGCTGTGATTGGACGCAATGACCGGCCTCAATCTCCCTGTCTCATATCCGATCTGTCCCTACAGACTCTCGCAAATGTGTCCGACAAAAGGTCGAGTGTGCCCTTCCTGTTTATGCCGCCGCATGTGTAAAGCGTGAGTATCCTTGTCCACACGTATGCTGAAGAAGACACGCCACTCTGAACATAGTTTTTATATTTGACGGCTTCACTCTCAGGGATGTCTTGGCGTGCCTGGTGTTGAGGTTTCGGAAGCTCTCGAGGGAGGACTCAATCCTTTGTTCTCGTCCCGGCCGGAAACGAGGACACGAATGAGTCAATTCGTTTAAATTCAAAAATCAAAAGTTATTTAATAACTGAACAACGTAATAGGGATTACAATTACAAAGTGAAATACTAAGCGAACAGTGGAATATTTCGCGAAATAGAGAATCCTCTGAGCAAGTCTGAAGTGACTTATCAACGCGGCTGCAGGAGAAGTTCTAACAGTCTTTTCCCCGCTTTGGTCCTTTGAAACCTCTTGAGGTGTGTCTTCCTTGGTGCATTTGAATGTCATTGGCCTCTTCTCCAAAGGGTCACCTCCTCCATTGTCCCTTCCACGTCGAGGTGTGAAGCTGCAGCTGTAACCTGAAACCTCTCTGTCCTAGCTGTCCCTCACACTCCAATGCACTCAATGTAGATACAGTGGCTTTATGCCTCAATGAGTGAATTTAACAAAGCATACATCGTTTAAGTCTTCATCTTATAACTAGTACACTTTAATTACAACAACCCATCATTAATGATCACCGTTCATCACATTTCATCATAAGATCTAAAACAGTTCATGTGGTTCAATTCTCAAGACCTTTGCCTCAGTCGGCTGCGTTACATTAAGTTGTTCATTTATTACCTGACAGGAGAAAAAACTCCCAAAAAAACCTTTTTGGGGATAAAATTGGGAGAAATCCATAAAGAACGGCAATTGGCATCCGTCCCCAGGTTTTAACATCACATTATGACAGAATGTTAATGTGTACAGTGTTTATATGATTTAAATGACTATGAATTGTGTTTGATTGAAATTGCATTCACTTCATCTAACATGTTAACGTAATAACTAATATCTAATAACACACAAACTATAATTCTAACACTAAACATTATTACACGCACTACAAATTCTATGACTAGGGGTGCACTTCTGGCTTAAATCCCTAACACTGGCTTTACATCGTGAGATCTTTTGTGGAACCCAGCGCTCATCTCTTTGATATTCCCCAGTGGTTATTTGCTTCCAGCATTGCCAATTGATGGGGTAGAGATGATTCTAGGCAATGACCTGGCTGGTGGGGCAGTCTGGCCTTCTGTGCCGCCATCTCCTGTGGTTGCTCCAGAGTTAATGGTGATTGCTGGGCCGGATGACTGTGGTCAGAGATATCCAGATGTGTTTCCAGCCTGCGCCGTGACCCGTGCGCAGCGTGCTAGGACCATTTCAGACGTTAGTGGAGAGCAAAGCGAGACGAAAGTGGTGATTCCTTTACCTGATCTTCCCCCATCCGTCCCTCGGCCGGAGTGGGTTGAAAGTCAGCAGGTTGATCCATCTCTGTCTGGTTTGTTGACCAGTGTTTTGCCTGAAAGTGAGGTTGGAAATGTGGCTCTTTGCTATTTTCTCCAGGATGGGTTGCTTGTGAGGAAATGGGTGCCTTGTAAAGGTGATTTTGTTGGTGAGCCTGTATTTCAAATTGTGGTGCCTGAAACATTCCGTGTCGCAGTATTAAAGATTGCGCAATCTGGTCATTTGGGGGTGAGGAAAACTTATGACCGCGTTTTACGATACTTCTTTTGGCCGAAATTGAAGCGTGATGTCTCCAATTACATAAAATCGTGTCATACATGTCAGCTTACAGGTAAGCCGAGTCAGTCAATCAAGCCAGCACCTCTCTGTCGCATTCCAGCAATCAGTCAACCATTTGAGCATTTGATCATAGATTGTGTGGGGCCTTTACCAACCTCAAAGTCTGGTTGTTCTTATCTGCTGTCTGTGATGTGCCAGACAACAAGATATCCTGCAGTATATCCTTTGCGTTCAATTTCTGCAAGATCAATAGTCAAGGCCTTGACACAATTCTTTTCAATTTTTGCCGTTCCGCGTGTGATTCAGAGCGACCAAGATTCGAACTTTACATCGCACTTGTTTGGACAGGTGTTGAAACGGTTGAAGGTGACTCATAACCGTGCGTCTGCTTATCATGCGCAAAGTCAGGGAGCATTTGAACGTTTTCACCAGACATTGAAGTCCTTGTTGCATGCGTACTGCACAGAGGTAGGGAGAGATTGGGAGGAAGGACTACCTTGGCTGATGTTGTCAGCCCGAGAAGTTGTTCAGGAGAGCACTGGGTTTAGTCCCAATGACCTTGTTTTTGGCCATACAGTCCGTGGTCCCTTGGCAGTTCTGCGGGATGGCTTGGGTGACACTGATGTCAATGGTCTGAATTGTAGTGGTCAGGGTTAATATTGTGATTATGAAATGTAACTCCTGTCATCCTTCACTTTGTTCTCGTCTCTCTCTTAAAATGCTTCTTTTAGGTACCTGGTTGCAGAGCTGGGGCGTAGTTTCAATGTGGAGGGTGCTAAGGTAGTATGTTTTTTTTTGTTGTTTTTGGGAGTTTGCGGTGATCCCTTTTGGGACCCCGTCTAAAGGGAGGAGGTGTGACGACCCCTGCTTTGGAGGCAGCAGCCTTCCAATGAGATTTGGTGATAATCCTGTGTTCACTCATTCATGCTGTCGCTCTCTCCTCTCTCCAGCAGACGTCCGGTGTGGTAAGGCAGCCGCCTGTTGAATCCGGTTTCCTTTTGGTTGAATGCCCTTGACAACACCCACCATTTACACTTTACCCTCATGCACATCCTACACTACTGATAATACTGACATTCACATCCCATCTGGAATGGTTGTGGTTTTTCGTTGTTTTGTGTGTGAAATAAAGAATGTTACACCTCGGAAACCAGTGCAACTCCAATCTTGTCATGGCCCAAAGAGCCAGGTCGTGACAATCTCAGTGCCCTTTTTTTTGTTCTCCCTTCTGAGTGCTCTGTGGTTTCACGGGGAGTCGCACTGGAGACCCTGTCTGGTTCGGCGGTTGTTTTGAGATCCGGCCGCTCATGCTTCCACGCAGATATCTTAGACTGATAGTGAGATTTTCGGTTTCCTGTGCTTTAGGCACTCAGGGACATAAGTACTCCCAGAAATACGCTACTGCACGGTCAAGGCTGTGCACATGTTTGCGTCAACAAGGGAAAAATGCATTATTTTGTTTTGTTTTGCTATTTAAAGCGTCAACTTCAATGTGCAACACCTCCGATGTCTTCTACTAGATTAAGTAGCACACAGCACACATCTGGCTCGTCTCTTGGGTTGTCAGGACTCATTTCCATGTACAGGTAGATTGAGTCACAGTTAAGCTTACTGTTCCTCTAACTGTAGCCTGTAAATTAATTGAG